TTTTTCTTGAAAAGCAGCCCCAGTACATTCGACTAGGGCTATGTTTTACTGTAGCTGTAACACAGGATAAAGTCCATTCATCCTTCGGTTCACGCTAAACCTTACTAGAGCGGCTTTGTTGAAATTGAGAGAATGTGGATTCATCACTCCACAAGACTTTCGACCAATCCGCTTTAGTCTAGCTTTGATGTTCTAAACACCATTCAAAACGCGCCTCAATATTTGCTGATGAAATTAATGGTTTTTTTCTTATAACACAATTTTTTAATCCAGCTGAATGGAGGGTTCGTCTAATCGTCTTGGTCGAAATATCTTGCCCAGTCTCTTCTTCCAAAGCTGTTATATTCCAGCTGCACATAGACAACGATTTTTAGTTTTATCATTCGTCACAATTCGTTTAAGGCGATTTCGTTGTGGGATTGGAATTAAAGGTGGACGTCCAGAATGATGCATCGATTTGGTTGATCTGGTATTACGATATTGAATAATAGTGTTACAAACAGTTAACACTCCATAGTCAATGGTATTAGCAATGGTCCGATAACTATTACCACATTGATAGCAATAAATTATGGCTCCGCGTTGTTCTGCAGTTAATTTTTTAGTTTTAACATTTTTTTATTTAGAGTTTCGGAGAAGAAAATTTATTAAAAAAGAAATTAAATTGTTATTTTTTTATGTTTATAATATAAATAAATACTAACATGTCATATGATCGCAATTTGTTATTGCGGTCATATGACTTTTCTAGCATTAATTCGCGTTTATAAAGGGTGTGCGGATACTTTTGTCCACCCTCTGTACTTAATATATTCATATTAAAAATTTGATATAAAATATAGTTTTTCAGAACTCAGAAATAAAGTTAGAATTTATTATGTCATGCATATAGTCATCTAAATATTGATTTAAAAAACATTTCACATAGAATAAATGATTAAAATAAAATGTAATTAAATCGCAATAATAAAATGATTTTTTTAGTATTATAAAGAATAAAAATAAATATAAGAAGTCCAAGTTATGTCTGATGATGTTTTGCACTGCATTTATTTCTTAATGCTAAAATTTAAGCAAAATTCTTATTATTTTCATAGAATCCAAAAATGTCTTTTAAAATATTATTACTGTTTAAAAAAATAGACAATTACCTTCCTATGATTTTTTAGAAAGTCATTTTACTATTATGAAGATTCTTTGATAGTAGTATAAAAATGATTAATTAATCGTTATAGCATTCATATATTGTTTAAAAAAAAGATAAATAAATTTGGGAAAATTTTAAGAATATAGAATTTTTGTCCTTTCTTTGCAAATGAGAAAAAACAGAATATAACATTAATTTTGAAAATCTAATTAAAGTTAGATAAAGAATTAGAATAGACTGAGAGTTTGGAGAAAACTATGCAAATCGTGATGAGATAATTGGTAAAAAGGAAACTAGTATTCCTAATGAGTTGAGTTGAGTTGAGTTTGAGTCAAAATTATTCTACATACCTTTAATTTAAAGTACTTATTTATTATATGTAACTAAAATTTACAATTATGCACAATCATATGAGTTAAATATGTGAATTTATGCGAGTCATTTTCAGAACTCTAAAAAAAACTGATGTAAAAATTCTGAAAGCTTCCAATCTTAATTATAATAAATTAAAAGTGTTTTTAGGAATACCAGCAATTAAAAAGAGTTTAAAGAGAAAGTGTGAGAAGTAATATATGCTCAAAATAAAATAAATAGAAATCAAGAATTACAAAGCTACAATTTAATAATTAGATATGTTTCAGTTAAATCACCCATTTTTTCTCTAGAGTAGTTTGATTATCTATAATTTATGGTACCAATAGAAAATGAAATAAATGGAAAAAGAAGAATTTGTTGTTTTCACCTTTTAAAAGTACCTGAAGCTCTAAAAAAAAAGAAATAAAGTTAGTACAAATAAGAAACAATAGAAATGAAATCAAAAGATAAATAAAACTATTACATATATTAAATAGCTTTAAAAAAGAAATCATTTTTAAATAATGATTATTTTCTAAATTATGATTATCCTTGCATCTTATATTATAATCATATATTAAATGCACCTTTCGAGCTCTATTTACAACTGTAATAGAAAAATTTTAAGATAAAAATTTTCGTGACAAAGGATAAAAATCAGACAATCTAATTTTTCATGCTTCTTATAAGTATCTTCAAACTAATTAATATAAATAAATAGGTAAAAATATTCATCATTGCTTGAAGATTCCTTTGATAATTGTGTAACTTTTACCATAATTAACCACTTGAATTGTCATTACATCATTTTTATTTAAATGGTATCAGATACATATTTATAAAACTTGCAAGTTTTGTTAATCAGTAATGCACAGCAACCAAAACTGTTATAAGCAAGAGCTAAGTCAGTTTGAAATGAAATTTTATCTATTTCGATCATTGTATTGCGAATAAGTATTAACTTTTATAGCTCTATGATTCGAATACGACTAGATTGTGAATATACTATAAAATATTAGCATATTGTTATCCATTTAAAAATATATAAATAAACATTTTAATACCTTTAGATTCCTTATTATCTATTTCCAAATTTTCTATAATAAACTAATCTTTAAATAAACGTTTAACATTTTGAGATATATTCATAAAACTAATGTTAGATTGTAAGTTTTGAAAGTCAATTCCACCATCGACAAGGTATCAAATTGATTGTAATATTGTATAACGTTTTAATAAGTCCAATTTAATATTTTTACAATTAGTATATGGAACTATTCTTTTAAAGATATGATGAACAATTTCCTTTATTCCAACTTCAGTATTCATGAGAGTTTTAAAAGTTCTTACATGCTACAGTAAATGATAACCAGCATGAAGATTAGAAAGGCCTACAAATTCTTCAAATAACTATATGTATACAACATAGTAATATAGAAAAGTTAGTTTCAAAAATACAGAATTGTACCACTAAATGCATATATGAATTTTACCTCTATCAATGCTTTTCGTTCCTTTTTTAACAAAATTTTAAATCTATATAGTCATCATTCATTAATGAAATTCTAAATGTTAACTGAGAGCATCTCATTACAATTGTCTAGCATTTAATGATATTATTATTCACTTGATCATGATTTAAGCTTGTTCATTCTTGCAGTTTTGCTAAGTCTTGTTGTTTCAAGCAGTTAATAGTTAAAAAATGATTTAATATAAATGGCATTACTATTCCTAATTGAAGATAATCTGACATCATAAAACTTTCAATATGGCTAATAGGATTTAGAAGTTTTGACCATTGAGACGGATATTCAAATGATTTCCAAACACTAATAAATATTTTGTTGCCTTCTAGAGATAGCATGGCAATTGTCAATTTAAATAGTTTTATCATTTTGCCAGCTATTAGGTAGTAGATATCCTGTGGTGATTGCAGATGTCGTTCTTATTGAAGTTGATCAAGAATTGGAAGAGAATTCTGCAAACCATATTTCTTTGCAATATCATCTTGTTATATAAGTGTCAAAGCTCCAAATAATTCTTCAAATTGAGCATTTGTAATGTGATAGTAACGAGAAATACTAGCAATATCTAATATGATATCTGTAGAATTTTCTTTGATAACTTGACATGTTTTACACCCTTTATTGCACTATGCTATTTTACACCTGATAAATCATTACCTTGAGGTAAGTCTGCAGTAACACATTTAAGACTTATTATAATCTAACAATCTCTTCCTTGAACATTCATTTATATTTCCTTTTTTAATTATTTCATTTCTTTAATAAAAGAATGAATAAAATCTTTAAAACAACCGCCAAATGGAATAAAGCCTAAAACAAAATGATTACGAAGACATTTTCTTAAATCAAATGGTATATTTCCTAATTGAATATATACTCCTTCTATCTAGTGAATGATAAATGTTTCGATAAGTTCCAAAATCATCATAATAAATATCAATAAATATCTTTAAAACTCAGAGATTTCTGTATTGTGATAGTGGTAAATTTAGAGCAGAATATTTATATAGATGCATATAGTCTAGTGTTACTTTTCGTAATTTCCAATAGCCATTATTTTTATATAAAACTTCTTTAATAAATATATTATTTGTAATAATAGTTGAATCACAGATAATTGTAATATCAACCTTTTTAACAATCTCATTAGCATTTATAATAATACTACCCTCTTCCAAATACTGGTCTACTAACCATAATTGCAATTGGCATGTAATTGATCGTGCATTGCAGTAAAAATGGTTTGGTAATTCATTTTAAGTATAAATTCGTTGTAATTTTATTTGAAGTTCATTATTAATAGATATTATTGATTGTATTCTTTGAATTCTATTTTCTTTATATATAATAAATTCACTTAGATGATAATTTTCTAAGTAAATAGTTTTATAAATAAACAATATGTATAATTCCCATGCTAGAATTCTTTTTTTCTTCAACTTCTACTTCCAGTCTAAAGTATAATGTGTTATATAAGTAACGGGTTATTTAATATATTTTAAAGAATATCATAAATTGATAAAAAATAACATGTTTTAATTTCTTTAGATGTAGATAGTGTTTTCTTTTGGTTTATTTTGATAGAGCGTGCCCTTATTGGCATTAATAGCAATCAACGTCTCTATTGCCGAAATCTTCTTACATTCTTTACAACTTCTTTTACATCAAATTCAGGATGTTGTAATATATCCACTAAATCGTTATATGCATTTTGTCACTATATTTTAATATACAGTAAATAATTATATACTTATAGATTATTGCATGTATTTATTTAAACAATATAATAAAAGACGAACTTACAAATATTATGTTTTTGTATTCAATAGAAAAACAATGCAAAAGTTACATTATCAAAATAAGAAGTAAAACATCCATTTATATTCAGTAACTGATCACTACTCATTGATGAATCAGCTATTACATCTTTCTCATGCTTTAAATGAAAAAATTTTATTAAAAATACAACATGTTTATGAATCAGAGAAAGCATAGATTACACTATCATCACTGTCAATATCTTCCAAATCATAATCTTCTTCTACTGCATCCTCATTTACATTTCTACCATCATCATCATAATTGTAATAATTATTGTTCTCATTTACATTTCTACTATCATCATCATTGTAATAATTATTATCTTCATGGTAATTATCATAGTAATCATCATCCTCATTATTATCACTAACTTCTGTTTCATTTTGCAATTCAGTTTCGTTACTACTTTCAGTTTCATTATCACTTTCGAGTTCTATTTCATCTTGCAATTTAGGTTTATTATTTTCTTTAAAACCTATTCCCAATGCTAAATAAATATTAGATAGAATTTATAAGTAGTCTTGATAAACCAAATTCAAAAAAAATCTATTATATCATTATCAGCATTGTATTTT